TTGCAAGTTGCTCCATAGACATACTTATCTACGTTCATGTTATAGTGGGTTATAGATCTACTCAGGCTTCTAACTGCATTTCTATATCATTTTCATTATTTACTTCTCTCTTAATATTATTCCTAATGAAAGATATACGAAAGTTATATTCTACATTCTCCGTCAGGGTACTCTTCTTGGCTAACATATCAACATTATCATGAAGGAGTAATCCAATGTGTGATGGGATCCATAGCAATTGCACATCAATTCCTTTTTCCCGGATTTTTTATTATCTCTACCTTATTTTGGAAAATTGCATTTATCTGAATGTAACTCATTATGTACATAACATAAATGATAACAAAGATAATTATTATTTATCAGAGTTACATAGACAAGTAGGAATTTGGGCACCTAGGTCACAAAAATGTCCCCCTTCGATACCTACCACTGTCATATCCACAAGTTGCTCTAGACCTATTAATTACAAATGAAATGTACATACACCAGGAATTCTGGTAAATATATAAATTTGTGGACTGTATATTAAAATTAATAATGAATATATAAAATGCACATTTACATAACAGAAGGAGAATATATCTTAATATCACTCACCAATTTGACTGGAGATTAAGTTGTATCATACTCAGAAAACCTCACTGTCTATACATGAAAATAACACTGGCCAGAGTTAAACATCACACTTATCTGAGGTTCTGGAGCTGTCTTGTCCAGTCGCCTGATATCTCAAGTTATGCAGGAATGCACATCCAACAATTTCGCCTCCTATTTGAGAGGTGTCAGCCCAATTTTACCTCTAGAGCACGAAAATTCTTCCCAGTTTTACTAACGTTTTTTTGGCTCATTCAAAACACAATGGCGAGTCTCCTCTGCGCAGGCGCAGCTTCCCTGTCCGTTCCATTCTCTTCTTTTAAAAATACATTTTTAATCAGGTTTATTTTCACAGCATAATATTGGAAAATTATTTTCCACACTTATAATTAATGACTATAATACCAACAAGTTGAATATTCACTGACATGTCGGTATGGTATACCATTACATGACACTTGTGTGACAAAATATATATTCAACAACTTGTCTGTACTGTATTTCAGTAACGTTATGATACGCTGAGGAACTGGCTGTAGATACCAGGACACGGAGATCTTCCATTTACACTTCAGGATTGTGCAGTCCGGCTTCAGGTGGCTTTCATCCGACCGCCAACATGTCTTGAATCTCATGTCGGTCTTTTTTTCTCCATCACAGGCATGCTGAAGACAGTCTTATCGGTCTTATAACAGGTCTTAGCCGCCATGGTCTTCTTGTCTTGGCTGGTTTTCAATGGGGCAAGTGCTGTATCATCACTCTGGATTATTATAATCAAGAGGGAGAGCTAAACCCGTAGGATTATGCAGCGCCTGTGGGGGAGGGGGATGTGGAAAGTATAAGACCTCAAGAAATCGTAATGACACGATTGCAAATAAACCATACCCCCGGCCGGATTGAACCCGCGGTCATAGAGTCTCAAAACTCCAGCCCGTCGCGTTAGCCACTAGACCAGCTAGCCACAAAAAAATTCATCCAACTAGGTTTATTTCTACACCATAGGAAAGTTAGCACAGGCACCTCTGTGACCACAAATGCAAGTTTTTACAGACGAATCTCCAGCTAGCGTGGCCGTGACGAACTCTAGCTCAAGTCCCTTCACTGCCGTCAACATGACGGCAGTGAACATAGATTATCATACATAGCAGCATATGTGTAGAGAACCTGGGATAACAAAAAAGTCAGAGTGACAGATAAGATAAGATAAGATAAGATTTCGTTCGGATTTTTAACCCCGGAGGGTTAGCCACCCAGGATAACCCATAGGAAAGTTAGCACAGGCACCTCTGTGACCACAAATGCAAGTTTTTACAGACGAATCTCCAGCTAGCGTGGCCGTGACGAACTCTAGCTCAAGTCCCTTCACTGCCGTCAACATGACGGCAGTGAACATAGATTATCATACATAGCAGCATATGTGTAGAGAACCTGGGATAACAAAAAAGTCAGAGTGACAGATAAGATAAGATAAGATTTCGTTCGGATTTTTAACCCCGGAGGGTTAGCCACCCAGGATAACCCAAGAAAGTCAGTGCGTCATCGAGGACTGTCTAACTTATTTCCATTGGGGTTAATCTTGTCCCCCAGGATGCGACCCACCCAGTCGACTAACACCCAGGTACCTATTTTGCTGCTAGGTGAACAGGACAACAGGTGTAAGGAAACGTGTCGAATGTTTCCACCCGCCGGGAATCGAACCCGGGCCCTCCGTGTGTGAAGCGGGAGCTTTAGCCACCAGGCCACCGGGCCATTAGGGTCCTTTTTGCCTTATTATTATAATATAAAGGTTATAATATCTTCTTATTATTCTATAAAGGAGATAATATTTTATTATCATACTATTAAGACTATCTACTACACGAGGGTCATTAAGACTATCTACAATACGAGGGTCATTACTAGGAATAAGGTAAAATTACACGTATGTTAGCTAAAAAAAAATAAAAAATCATTCCCTTCCCTTTCTGTAGCTACATTCATCAGACACTTTTGGCACTCTTCTTGAACTGGTTCATGCTATGACTGGCTTTGACATATGCGGACAGTCTGTTCCATTCCTTTATTGCTGTACAATAAAAGGTTATTATTATTATTAAAGATTAGCCGGTATTCTCCCGGCCCGGGCCTTTTCCAAGTGGTGGCCCGGCCTTGGCTCCCTCTTTAGGGAGTGTCTGAGACCTAAGTCTTCCATGGGAGGAGGCACAAGTACCTCCTCATCTTTGGGACCAACTGTCCCCAGGCCTAGCCACAAGCTAGGCCTCTCTGGTCTGCCATCCCGCCCGAAGGGGACAAATGGGAATGACAGTCTTATGAGCTAAAGGCTCGGGCTCAGGCACCTACCCTACCCTAGAAGGGTTAGGCATGGGAGCGATCACATTAAAAGGTGTTTGAAGCCTGGCCACTGTGGGTACTACAAAGTTGTGCTCTCTCCCCCTAGTACTATGATTGCTTTGGTTCCCAACCTTGACAAAATGGCAGCAAGATATTCTGGACACTGTTTGTGAGCAATTTCATAACCTTGATTTAGCTTCAGTTGTTTTACTCTGTCTTCAACATTCAGCATATCCAATTGCTGTAATTCAGGCTTATTAATTCAGGGAACCGGAGCACAGATTCAATTCCCTAGATCAAGAGCCCCTCACCGGCGTCAAGGAAACTTCCTTGAGGAGATCATCACTCTGGAACATTCAGAATGCTCTGATAACAATGTCTTGTCCCAGGTTATGTCTAATTGTATCTCTAGTGTTGGACTTTTCAAGACTTGATATCAGCTTTCCGACAGTCTCAGTTGTCCAACCATTTATTAATACTACTTACTAGGATCCCAATGGAAATAAGTCACTCTTGTCTGACTTTTCTTCGGGGTTATCTTAAGTTCTCTACATTTTTTTTTTAGACTTTGCCACCGAAGTGGCTAGTTTATTGTACGCCCCATATCCATCCTGTGGACGGTAGCGCAAGAGCATATGGATACACAAAAAGCTAGGAACTAGGCCCCAAAAGGGTTAACAGGTGCACATATGGATTTACATCTATAGTTCACTTATCTGTTACACATATGCTGTTATGTATGATAATCATTGTAACTGTATACCTGAATAAAACTTACATCTTGATGTGCACCAAGAAAAATTTTGGTGGCAAAAAAAAAATCAAGAACGCCTCCCATGAGCATCTCTCCTCGTGTGGCATCATAACTAATGCTCCAGACATGTTACAGTAGCTGGACAACCTTGACCAATGTCATATAGCTCCCTCAGCCTGGTGATGGTGTTCAATGCTTGTCTAACCTATAGGCATGACTGCTTTCACTGGTGACGCCGCCTATAACTTCTCGTCTCACAAGGTTTTTTTTCCTTTTACTGTATTGATGAAATTACTGGCTGACGAATTATTATAATCAAAAGCTATTATTATAATCAAAGACTGGCTGGCGAAACGTTTCCACAATAACGATACCCAAATATTGCACAAGAGTCTCATTCTTCAGCCTACTACAGGTCTTGTCACTGTAAAATGATATCTAATGGTAGTGTCACTGTTCGGTAGTAATAGTTTGGCCACGGTTTTGGATGTACTTACTGTAGTGCCAGCTTCTGTGATATAATTGAAATTGAAATGTTTATTTCTCAGTAAATATTACAATGTGGGTTTACATATTATAAAATATTAATTACAATGTGTGGTTTACATATAAATATTAATTACAAAGAAGGCCAGTAACATGCCTAGGTATTTCGGGCAGAACAGAGTACTGGTGTTATCTCTCACAATCGCTTCTAAACATTTTCCTATAAATAAATAATTTTCATGAAATATCAGCACGGCTTCATTACACTTGGTAGTGTCTCTGTGCTGGTGTTAAATACTGGTATTATTTTGTTCATCCCGGGTATAGAACACTTCCATCACACAACACATATTAACTAGTTTCACTCTCAAGTAAGTTTCCTTGATGTCGATAAGGGGCTCTTGATTCAAGGCATTACATCTATTCCTTCCCTTCCTTGGATCTCGTTTTCCCAAATGCTGTATGACCTCATGGGTTTACCGCTCACTTAAGCACTTTTATAATAATCAATTTGAATGCTTCCAGCGGCTCTAGAATGTCTTCCAAATTTGCAGAAGTCATCCCTGATTAAGATTCAAAATAATTTTGTGAACATTTATAAATTTTTAAAGTATTAAATTGGAAAGCATTTTGAATAGGTTCTATAAAATCATATTTTTATGTAGAATATTTACCAACTAAATCTAGGATAGTCAAATCTAGGATTTAAGATTTTTTATTTGGATAATCATAAGGGTAAAAATAAAAGCGCCAAAATTTCCCCTCATGCAGGTTTAACTATATAATTTTACTCCTGGAAAATGTACTAAGATGTAATGAGTCATAATTTAGAAATTTCTGGAAGTTACTAGAATGTGGATGATAGTGTAGTGTGTGTGTCCCGCCGCTGCTGCTGTGTTGTGGTACACTGTTGCCTTCACGTTATTAACCATGGTTAGCCTTTATCTTTCTTATTTTACCTCTAATGTTGATGTTTTTGAGTGGTTTATAGCAGTATGTATGTCCATGGTGTGTGTGAGGTGTGTTTGTTAGGTGTAAGAGGAGAGAGAGGTGGTAATAACGTCAGCATGGCCCGGTGTGGCCGCCTCTGTCGTCTGTTGACTTGTCATCTCACACTGTTACTCTTCTCACTCTGTTTTGTGTGTTTAAACCTCAGTAGTCGAGTAAGCTTCACTTTAACGTGGAGTGTTGGCCTTAAAAACTTTGAATCAAAATTGAGAAAAGGGGTATTTATTTTTATTGCTAGTTTATCGTTATTATAACTGGTTATTCCAGGTTCAGTTTTGCACTGTTAAATGTCTTATTTTTTAGGTTTTAAATAAAGCGTATAAACAGATTAAGTGTATTTGCCATGTTATGGATGTGTTTGAGTCTAGTTTATAATGTTAAGTTGCCGGGGCTCTGTCCTGGAAGTAACTCGCATTTTGACTATATTTTATCAGTCCTCTTGAGGGTACGAAAAAAGTACGTGATATATATAAAGTTTAAGATAACCCATTAAAGTTAATGTAGAGGTTAAACTTGCATATGAGGCTGGTGTAAAAACTTGAAAAATAAATTATCATTGCAGCACTTAAGTAAAGCAAAATGTATTTGTTAATTTGTTTTATTAACTACACTGCAGTTAAGGGTAAATTTAAGTTATAATAAAATACTTTGGATTAGTACCCCCTCAAGGAAAGGTGCTCTTATGCCAGTGAAGGGTTCTTCATCCAAGGAACTGGAATCATCTTTCCATTCTGCAGGTGCTATATATAACCCCTGTGGGTTTAGCACTTCCCTCTGATTCAATAAATTTTGGATTAGTACCTTTAGAGGGGCTTGTTTAATTTTGGAGGAGCTGGGTTCGATCCCAGCATAAGTTGAAATGTTGGGTATATTTCTTTACACCTGTTGCCTCCCTTCACCTAAAAGTAACTAGGGACTTTGGTGATGAATGACATGTGAAATACCTGGGTTTCAATTTTGACGACATTTTCCCCATGCAAAATGATTTTTTTAGTCTAATAAAATATTAAAGTAGCCTGTGTCTTTGAATGAAAAAAGAAAACTTGCCTCGCAGGTGAAATTTCTTGTCATTATTATATAGTTACTCATGTGTTGCGCATGAGTAGATACTTGTCAGTATTATATACTGAAAATTAGCTACTCAACTTGTCAGTATTGTATACTGACTTGTCAGTATACAACTTGAGTGACAACTTGAATTTGTCAGTGACAACTTGAATTTGTTAGCTGGCTGTTGTGGGTGGCATCTTGGAGGGTGGATAAAAAAAAACAGTGGAAATGAGCCTGACTAGTGGATTTATTAGGCTTTTTTTGGGTTACCATTGTCTGGGTAAATAATCTGAATAAAATCTTCAACCTAGGTTAACTCAGGAAGCCAAACAGTGTTGCTGATTTCCATTGGATTATCATTATAAATCTCAGGCATCCAGCAGAGCCATCAACTTTTTAAATCACTGATGTTAGCGAGTTATCCAGGTGGCAGGATTGATGACTTGTGAAAATATAAAAAAAAGTTATCTAACAATATAATTTAGAATTTGCTCAAGTTTAGTTAGTGCACACACATAATTTTATTAAATTTAATTAAAATGGAGATAAGGTTCTTGTGAGACTATATGCATTATTTTATTTTTTAAAATACAAGCATGCTCTCACCCTTATACAGATTGCTATTTCTTTTGCAGATTATTTTGGGAGACACAGTATTATAAAAAATATTACCATTATTTTGGCTCAGACATTTCATTAGGGCCAGTCGTGCTGTATAGCCCTTGTGGCTTAGCGCTTCATTTGATTATAATAATAATTAGGGCCAGTCAGAGTTTCTTGCAATATGTCATTTCCATAGCTTCCACCATTGGGATGAGGTAAAGTTACTGTGTATGGGGTTATTTTAGGTTGGGTCATACTGGGGCTTCTTGTGTTAGGCTAGGACATTTTTAAGAATAAATTATTGCCCAGATCAAATAAAGACCTGATCTCATAATTACCCTGAATTATATATGGGGGAATTCTTCACCATTATAAAAATATTGGAAGGTTTTGATCTGTCGATGACTTGAACGTGTGTGATTACTGTCATTTGTTAAAATACAACTGTGAGTTACCTAACATAATTTAGCTTTAGTTAGGGTAAGTTATGAAGAATTGAGACACTTATGCAACACATGGGAATCTTTATTGAAGAAACGTTTCGCCACACAGTGGCTTCATCAGTCCAATACAAAGTAGAAATGGGTAAGGAGAGTTGAAGTTTGAGGTAATCAGTCCCTCAACCTGGAATCGATGTGTTCAGTCCATCACTCTTGTAAGTTATGCAAGGTTAGGTTACTGCTTGCCTATATTTTCATTAAATTGGCATCAAGGAGGACCCTTTGCCAATAGGAAAATATTGTGGACCTTTCTCAACTTAGTAATGACTAGGGAATGTCAGTGAGATCACTTGCTTTTCCCTTTTTAAAAGGATGTGACCCACATGGCGAATAACTTCTAGGTATCCATTTATTGCTTAAAAAAACAGGCAGCAGGTGTTAAAGATTCTTGCTTCATCCTGGGTTTGATTTGGGTACTTTTAATTTTGAAGGTGCTGAATGTGTTACCACAAGGCCATGAGGTATCCATCAGTCGTAACAGAATTAGTGACAACAATCTTGCAAAAATTTTCATAATAGAGTAGCTAAATAAAATTTTACCAGGGTTGCCATAGCTAAATATTAATGAGTTCAGGTTACCTCACTTTTTTCCAAGCTAGGCTCTTAGACGTTATGATCCAATTTAATTAGTAAATTTGTTTTGGATAATGGAAAATAGTGTAGTTAGAAAATCCCCATAGGTAGAAAGTTTGAAGTACTGTAGGCCTGATTAAGAATAGATTGAAAGATATTTCAAGCAGTACAGTGGACCCCGGTTAACGTTTTTTAATCCCGTGCAAGAGGGCTCATCGTTATGCGAAATAATCGTTTATGCGAATGAATTTTCCCCATAAGAAATAATGGAAATTTAAAATTAACCCGGGGCAAGACGCCCAAAAGTATGAAAAAAATTTTTTTTACCACATGAAATGTTAATTTTAATCACACAAACTGAAAAAGGCATGCACAATAAATGACACTTATTTTATTGAAGATCTGGTGATGATTGAGGGATGGGGGAGGGGGAGAGAGTTGTTAGTGTTTGAAGGGGAATCCCCTTCCATTGGGGACTTGAGGTAGTAAGTCCTTTTCTGGGGTTACTTCCCTTCTTTTTTTAATCCCACTAGGGCCAGCTTCAGAGTCACTGGACTTCTTTCGCAAAAGATATCTGTCCATAGTGGCCCTGTACCTCTCGTTCCTTTATGACTTGCCTAAAGTGTTTCACAACTTTTGTCAGTGTAATAATCACCAGCACGGCTTGCAATGCTGTGTGAGGGTGATTTTATCCATGAAGGTTTGCACTTCAAGCCACTTTGCACAGATTTCCTTAATCTTTGAAGTAGGCAACTTCTTCAATTTCTCCCCCCCTCCTCCGAAGAAATTTTTCCTCAGGTGTGGCCTCTTGCTGTGAAGTTGATCTAGCAGCTCATCAGTGGTTAGTTCTTCATTGTCCCCCTCCACCAACTCTTCCACATCCTCCCCACTAACCTCCAACCCAAGGACTTCCAATGCCACAATGGATTCCTCAATGGCACGGTTTCTCAGGGTTAGCCTCAAACCCCTTCAAAACCCCTTTTGTCTACACATTCTGGCCACAGTTTCTTCCAAGCAGAGTTCAAGGTCCTCTTTGTCATTTCCCTCCCAAGCCTTACCTATAAGGTTTACAAAATTTGAGGATATTAAAGTGTCTCCCCAAAACTCTCTTAGAGTCAGTTGAGTTTCTGAGGTCATTACAAAGCACCTTTCAAACAGGCTTTTGTGTACAGTTTCTTGAAGTTGGAAATAACCTGCTGGTCCATGGGCTGCAGGAGAGGAGTGGTATTTGGAGGCAAAAACTTCACCTTAATGAAGCTCATGTCCCCATAAAGTCGTCTGCCCCGTTTTGTAGGTGACCAGGGGCATTGTCTAACACCAGGAGGCACTTAAGTTCTAATTTCTTTTCAGTTAGGTAATTTTTCACATTGGGGGCAAATGCATGGTTTTAACCAGTTATAGAAAAATTCCCTAGTGACCCATGCCTTACTGTTTGCCCTCCACAGCACACACAATTATCCTTGAGGACATTCTTTTGCCTGAACGCTCTGGGAGTTTCGAGTGATACACTAATAAGGCTTCCTTTGCAATCACCAGTAGGGATTGGCCACATCAACAAAGTAAGCCTGTCTTTCATAGGCTTATGTCCTGGGGAGTGCCTTTTCCTCCTGAGTAATGTAGGTCCTGCTTGGCATTTTCTTCCCGAACAGCCTGTTTCATCACAATTAAACACTTGTTCAGGTTTCCCGTCCTTCAGTTTCTATGTACTCCTTGAATTCCTGCACATATTTTTCAGCCGCTTTGTGGTCCGAATGGCAGCCTCACCATGCCTTTTCACACTATGGATGCCACTACGCTTTTTAAATCTCTCAAACCCAACCTTTGCTGGCCTTAAATTCACTCACATCTTTACTAGTTGCAGGCATTTTTTTAATTAAATCCTCATGCAACTTCCTAGCCTTTTCACATATTTATCGCTTGAGAGACGCTATCTCCTGGGTATCTGTTTTTCATTTATCCACACCAATAAGAGTCTCTCAACTCTTCCATTTAATTGCGATCTTTGGTTTCGAAAACACAGTTGAACCTTTGGCAAGAACAGCTTCCTTGATTGTCTTTTGGTGCCCCCAAAAGTAGCGATGGTTGATTGGGGTTTCTTGTACAGCTTGACTAGGGTCGGCTATACGCACTCCACTTTCATACTTTCAATTATTTTTTTCTTCATCTCTATGTAATTCTTACCTTTGAGGTGTAGGGTTG